AATAATAACAGCGTTTAAATCACAGAGCACCACAGCAATATCCACTCTCCCCCTTCACGCTCCATCACGTTCTTCTTTAATAACTTTTCTGAATGTAAACTTTTTCATTTATTTCTGTGTCTGCAGGAGGACACAGACCACGACTACTACACGTCAAAAACATACGGGCCGTCTGATCCAATGAGCAGAGACTTGTGGGTCGATACGGACCGGATGGACAAGGAAAAAGTGAAGATCCACGGGATTCTGTCCAACACACACAGACAGGCAGCGGTGAGTCAGCAGACTGCGTCAGCGTCCTTTGCGTCTTAGGAAGTTTAACACATAACGCTGGACGTTATCTTTCATGTCAAATTAATTCATAGTAAGCTGTCGTTAGGATATCTGCAGCTTAAAGGCTTTATATGTGATTTTTTGATCCAGCAGATGTCGCCCTTGAGCTCCAGCATGAAACCAAAACAACTGGCGCTGCATTGTTGTGTTAGCATGCTAATGCTAGCGATCTTTATTCTGCTGGTATCTTCACACTGCATGTAAATTTACCTGAAATGAGCGTGATCTAGAAACACAGTTAAGCAGTGAGTACAGTATGTTATTCTTCTTTTCTCTAGTCCCTCAATTAAACAACTTTTATACACGAGGGGAGGAGTCAGCCGGCCGTCCTGGCGATGTAAACAAAGTGAAGATAGGACTCTGAAAACTCTGAAAACATCACAGACAGTGGGACTCGGGTGTTACACCCATTGTAGACAGTCATGACTCACAGAGTTATTTTCAGAGGAGATACTTGATTTATATATTTAAGTGTAAAAAATCACAAATAAAGACTTTAAGTTGAAGGCTGAGAAGTTGTTGCTGCACCTAATATTTATTCTTTTCCATGTGGGTGATCTCATTTGAGCTATTAAATTCAGAAAATTCAACAGGAGAGTCGAATATGAGGTCTTCAGTTTTCTCCTTTGTCTAACAAACAGTCCAAAGACAATGTTCTCACAAACTAGAAGCACATTATCTATTATTATTTCCACTCATCGACTGCATGAGGGGGGGTCTTGTAAGGAACCTTGTCCCTGCAGATGATGCAGTAAATCCGTTAAACTCGTCCTGGCTTTGATGCAGAAATATCCACTCTGACTGGACTTTGTTTTGAACCCCTGAAAGTTCCTGTTTGGCTAAAATTTGAATAAATGTAACTAAGCAGATGTGATAGAAAGTAACGCCACAACAGGTCCATGCAAAGTCCAGCAGATTGATTCTTTGACAGCATGTTGCACCTAAGTCACAACATGATCTGTCCGGTTTGTAAAACAGAACTGCTGATTTGTTTCCTATAAGGATGCTGAGGGGGACATGCATCCATACTTTTGATTTATTCTATTTTCCAGTGATAACAAGTTTTTTTCTTGAGATCTTAACTTATTAATCTCGTTATCTCGGGATAGCAAAGCTTGTTTTTTTTTCTTGATAATTGTCTGGAGAGCTTGAAAACAAAAAACAATAGGCTGGTCTCTGTGATAGGCCTTGCTACCATTGCTCACACTAATGAGTCAAGGTGAGGTTCTGTGTTTGTCGTGTGTTGGTTTTTTTTTAACTCTGGCTTCAGGGTAAATAAAAGCCACCTCGTTATCACAGGAAAACAGAGTAAGTGAAACGTGGAGATGCATGCCGGCTTAGGGCTCCCCTAGTCTCCTTTAAGATTCAAACTAAGGTTTTAAGAAATAACTGTAAGAAGTGAAAGAGCTTAAGGACTCCTCTGCGGTAAAGTTCCCCTCCCCTCCACCTCTGCTAAAGCAGGTGACCTCATGTGAGGAGCATACTGATGGAGTCACTCAGAGCAGCGTGGCAGAGACTATGGAGAGAGAGAGAAAGAGAGAGACAGCACCCCCGGGTGAACAATAGCCGGCGGGGAGATAGAAAAAGAGCTCTACATTGTGCATTCTGCTCTTCTACTCTCAGTCATGTCATGATGGATCGAAGCGTACAGTCGGAGGCGAGCTATTCTTTTTAGCCACGGAGCGGCCCGTCTAAGAGGCGACGGGTTTCTTTCAAATGTAAAAGAGGGAGGGCTCTCTCTGAACTCATTAATGTAGCATCAATTTAAAAAGGCAACCAAAGACAAAAGCAGATCTGAAAAAAAAAGATTTCCTGGAGACTGCAGAGCGAGAAGAAGTGAAAACCATCTGTGCTAAAAGTCATCCAGCGAGTCGGCAGACTTAAACAAATAGAGTTTATTATGATGGCAGTCACAATCCCACAGAAACTCTGAGCACTGGAGCTGGGTTGTTGGGGGAGGGGGGGGGAGCTCCCCTCTTGGCACAGCTGCCCACCAGAACTTTTGGCCCCAGACGCAGAAAATCGGCCAATGAGGTCGTAAAAACAAAAACACAGCCGCAGAGTTTAACTTCATCACAGGAGCGTAGAAGAGTTAAGCTGTGGATCGGCTGCACAGTCTGTGAGATTCAGTGTGGTCGGCCTCAGGATGACCCCCCCTCCTCCATCAGCGAGGATCACGTATAATATCTGTGTGTTTACTAAGGACGGTTTATTTCCGCAATGTTCTTTTTTTGGCAGCATGTTCAGCTCAGGGGGAAAATAATGAACGCATAAACCATCGTCTGTGGGAAGCAGTCCGTCCCTCGTTCGGTCCCAGAGCGATTTTATAACATCACAGTTTCTTAAAGGTCTTTTTAGTACGTGATAATTCCTGTCAACATATTCCTAAATAATACAGAAGACCATTTTGCCTGGGGAAAAAAAAGGATGGAAAGTAATGAGATGCTCAGTCAAATGTATTAACTTTCATCCTCAAAATGATGAAGAATCAGTCACAGTCTTAACAGACCTCATCATTTTGACTCATTTGTTATCATCATTTTGTCACCACCACTTTGCATAATCTTATTTTAAAGTATTTAAACTTATAAGTATCCAAACCACTGGACCAGAAGTCGAGGTGAAAAGCCGTCCTCAAAAGAGACAGGAAGTGATGATGATTGGGGGATTAGAGGTGTACATTGTCAGACAATCTCTCCTGGAAGGCGTGTCCAACTTGGACTGAAATAATGAATCAAACAGACGCAGCTCATCTTGAGATCTGTAGAGAAAACTTTAAACTCTCAGCACTCCAATCGATGCAGAGGTCTGTGTAGATGTCAGCATGTTGCTTTCATGATGTCACAGTCACGGTTGGATTCAGCCTCCCACAAAATCCCTCGTAGGTAGATTTGGGGAGATGGGATAAAGTCCACCATCTGACTCTTGGCCATGCTAGAGACGAAGTGAGAAATCCAAAAATCCAAAAGAAGAAAAGAAGGAGCCACGATGAGTCACAGGAAAAACTGACAACTGACTTACAACACTGACAAAGGACAATGAACTGACACAGAAGGGAAGAAACACAGAGACCAAAGAGACACAGGGGTAATCAAACACAGGTGAGACTAATGACACAGGTGAAGACAATGAGGGCGATCACACTGGAGGGAAACACACAGAGGCAGGAATAAACACAAGACAGGAAACACTGGAGACTAGAACTACAACATAAATCAGGAAAGACTAAACTATGAAACATTAAGACAAAAACACACAAAGGGAAACAAGCAACACCAGGATGGACAGGGGAAATTAAAACATGGAAACCTAAACGCTGAAATACAAAACTAAAGAAGACCAAATCCTGACAAAATATCTCCACAGGGCGGTTGTGTTGTATTTCACAGGTTTTACAATTCTCCTTAAGATCTTTATTTCAGATGTTTCCCCCTCTGAGTAGAGATGATAAAGCACCTCTGAATGTTCCTTCCTGATTGTTCTTGTGCTCTTTTTGAATCCTCTTTATGTTGTTTTTCTTTCGACAGTCTCTCCTCTCATCTCTGTCTTCCTCACCGGGCTCACCTGTCTGTTTCTCCCCTCACAGAGAGTTAACCTGTCCTTCGACTTCCCTTTTTATGGACATTTCCTGAGTGAGATCACTGTGGCGACTGGTGGTAAGTGTACACTGTTCTCTCAGTAGTAGTGATTGCTGTTGTTGTTGTTGTTGTTGTTGTTGGACACGCCGTGTGTGTGTGTGTGTGTGTGTGTGTGTGTGTGCTCGGCATATTAGGCTGCACACAGACAGAATTTATTGCTGCTGGATTCAGGAGGGAATGTGGTGAGATTTCTAAAAATGAGTCTGGACCACGCAGAGGCCTTTATGTAATGGAAAAGAAAAAAAGTGTGTTTGCAGCTTTGTGTACTTGTGTGTTTGCAGCTTGTGTTTACTTGAAAGTTGTCCAACATGGCCGCTCTGTCGGTCACCAGTGTGTCAAAATATGAAGCTTTAGGGACACCTCTGGCACCATTTCTGGATGCTGTATGCTAGCTTATTGTTTTTAATGCAGCAGTAAAGTCAGGTGAGTGTACTTGGGTTGACTTTGACTATGGGTGGAAAAAAAACAAACAAACAGACGGGTGACTTCTTCTGCCCAAGAATGCCATCTGACTCAGCAGTGAGGTATTCTAGCCAGTACAGATACACATCAGCTACCGCGACATCAGAGCATGCTGACAGTATTTGCTGATCGGCTGATATCGGCCGATAATGATGTTCCACCGATGCGCCATACCGGCGTCAGTATGTTAGGCATGTGCCAATCTAATGCTTGAATGGTTTTTAGATGATCATAGTTTATCTAAGCTGCAGACTTTGAGTAGTCTGGAGTGAGAACATGTAGGTGTCTGTCATGTCTACATCTCTCCTCAACCATTAACCAAAAAAAAAAAAAAGAACCACACAGTGAGTCACCTGTTGAAGTGTTGTCTCTGGGAAATTAAGATCCAAGGTCGTCGTTTTAGAGCTCCTCTGAGGAAGACTAAAAGACTCCAGGTCTCATTTTTACCAAGTGCAATTAATATGTTAAACAACAATTAGCTATTTGTTGCTCTCTTTGCACTTGAATTGCACATTTGCACACCTCATCTTTTGCAACTTGAATTTCCATTCTGGTACGAGCTCTTGACTGATGTTTTTATTTGGTTTTATATTCTTCTGTGTTGTCTGATTTTGCAATTCGTGTTGGTCCATATTTTATGGTGATGTTGTCCTTGTGTTTCTTGTCTTCTGTGTGCTCCTGTTGCAACACAAATTTCCCCTTGTGGGACAATAAAGAATCTGAATCTGAAAAGTCTCGTCTTGCACAGACCACAGTGCAACGACACACCAACAACACTCTGCAAGCCAAGCAGTCGGTCTGATTCAAGAACATTGAAAAGCTCTCACCTCGGTGGGATAGTCTGCTGGAGCAGGGGATAAAAAAAACAAACCACTCCCAACACTCAGCACCACCAAACACCACACCACACTTAACTGGAAGAGAAACCAGACGGATGGGTTTAGGACTGGAAACAGGAGCGTGTGAGCCAAGTGGCCTCGCACACCCTGATAGACATGGATAAGTGTGTGTGTGTGTGTGTGTGTGTGTGTGTGTGTGTGTGTGTGTGTGTGTGTGTGTGTGTGTGTGTGTGTGTGTGTGTGTGTGTGTGTGTGTGTGTGTGTGTGTGTGTGTGTGTGTGTGTGTGTGTGTGTGTGTGTGTGTGTGTGTGTGTGTGTGTGTGTGTGTGTGTGTGTGTGTGTGTGTGTGTGTGTGTGTGTGTGTGTGTGTGTGTGTGTGTGTGTGTGTGTGTTGCATGACACAGCAGACGTGTTTGCCCGAGTGTGCAAAGCAATTTTCCACTTGAGTCTTGACGGTGAAACCACAACACCCCAACCAGCTATTATCACATCAAAGACCAAAGCCCTGCTCTTATCCAACTATTTCAGAGATGCTGCGTTCCACTGCCACTGGAATAATAAAGAAATGTGTCTCTTATCATCATTTTCATCGCTGACTCGTTTTCCCCACTCCATCCTGCGTCACTGGCACAGCGTTCAGTTGGTCTTTCTTCGATGGAATGGACGTCTGCAGAAGGCTGCAAGCACAGAGGAGATAACAGAAATTTGCATTTCCTCAGACAGAGATGGAGGGATGAGCGTGAGGAGGAGAGCGAAACCGAGGAGCAGGAGGAGGCGACTATCTGTGTCTGGCAGGCCTCAGGGGCTTTGTCTCCAAGAGACCCTCCATTTCAGGGTCTATCAGTCACCTCTTCCTCCTCTTCCCACTATACCACCTTTCCTCACCCATCTTTGTTGTCAGTCAGTCTTTTTACTGGTACTTCTTCACTCCCTGTCTCAGCTACACTCACAGAAACCTTTAGGATTTTCAGAGTTACAGGAACTTCTAACAGTAAAGCAGCCACATTTAATAATTGTCATGTTTACATGCACGACTAATAATCGGAGTCTGAGCAGAAGAATTCATAGTGTTAATACCTCAATCAGACGATGGTCTCTTCTTCAGTGTAAATAAGTCTCAGAGCTCCTCAAAACATGTGTGTGAAGTTTCTTGTTCTAAATCCACTCTGATCCTGTATTTGATCATGTCTATAAACCCCTCTATTTCAGCCCTGCTCAGAACAGGCTGTTTCTGTGTCTGTACCTTTAAATATGTAAATGAGCTGTGTCTGACCACGCCCCCTCTCTGGAAGGGCTTGGGTGTCTCTGTCTTTCTCGCTCCATGTCCTATTGTTTACGGTGAGAAGGCAGATATGAAATAAATTTCTGGGAGGCAAAGTTTTGACGGGAATCAACACTCTTGAGATTTTTCAGCTGATTAAGTAAAGACTCTTTTGTTCAGTCATGGAGGCGTTTGCTGCCAATTCTCCGTTAGCTGTGTTCCAGAGGATTTATGCTCCGAAAGAGATATTGGATGTGTTACAGGCTGACTGTTTTTATTGTTTTGCTTCAAAAACAATATCATAAAAAGACCGAAATCTAATTTAGTTAAAACCTTCAGCTTCCTCTTAAAACATAATAAATGTGTGTTTGATGCTGTTCTGGTTTAAAAACAGCTGCAACAATACCATGAAGACAATGAGTTCAACACAACAAGACTTTGTCCGAACACGATGTCCAATAAAAGGGAAGCTTTACTCCTAACGGTACAGCTAATTCCCGCTCATGTTTTCGTTGGACACACACAGGCCGGGACTTTGAGATCACAGAACATGTAAACATGACGAGGGGAGAATTATTCTACTCCATCACTCCTTGGCCCAATCCCAAATCTCCAACCCTGAAGCCTAAACACTGAGCCCTCACCACTTTGATGATCTCCAGCGTCTAGTGTAGTGAGTAAGTCAGACTTTATTTATAAAGCACTTTTAAAACATTCAGATACAAAGTGCATGGGGCGTCTTTCGTCTAGTGGACCGACAGAGCGGGCCTGAAGGGACAAGAATCTATTTTTTTAAACATATACAGTAAGTGCAAATTTTAATATTAGTCGCGTCACATTATGACCTAGCTTATCGGAGTCTGAGCAGAATAAGAATTCATCATTCATTAAAATCTCAATCAGAAGATACTGGTTGGCACATTTAAAGGGAAATTTAAAGGTGACATATCCTCCTCTTCTTCTTCAGTTTCAATAAGTCTCAAAGCTCCTCAAAACATGTGTGTGAAGTTTCTTGTTCTAAATCCACTCTGATCCTGTATTTGATCATGTCTATAAACCCCTCTATTTCAGCCCTGCTCAGAACAGGCTGTTTCTGTGTCTGTACCTTTAAATATGTAAATGAGCTGTGTCTGACCACGCCCCCTCTCTGGAAGGGCTCGGGTGTCTCTGGCTGAATTTCTCACTTTTGATTGTACTACAACCAGCTGTATCCATGGCAACTCCTCCCAGATGTTTGACCTCCAGGTGGACGTCGACACAGTCAGGACTTCACACCGCTCGATAAAGTCACATCTTCACTCCCACCTCGTGCTGTACTTTGACAGTGTCCTGTACAGAGGTCATTCTCAGCTGGGAGGTCTTTAGGGGAGGATTGATTCCCCCTGATGTTCTCTGCTCCTGCTTTCTAACGTAATAGATGTGTTTTTATAGCCCGCCCACTGAATGAGCAGACATATGGTGTCATGAAATGAGGGCTTATGGGCTTGGCTTCAAAAAGACTTTTCTTCAAATTCCTCTCTTTCTAAGCAGTGTTAGTTTTTTTTTACTTTATGCCTCGGGCATAGGTCGCAGCACGAGCATGCACCCATCCACACTTTCAAAAATCCTGCAATTTTACACTTCTTATCCAAACAGTTGTGGCAACATCATGGAAAGTATTAAAGTCCCCTTTCTCAATAAGAGTAATTTATCGAAATTAACATCCAAATTTTTAAGATGCTGTCCCAGCAAGTGTTTTCAGTTCTTCAAAAATCATCAATTCTACTGGAATCCTGTGACTGTCTCACCCCAATGCACTTTGTTCTGAGTGAAAAACAGTGACAGTTTAAGGGGCATTATCTCAGTCTGAAGGGGAGGGTAAGGATCCACAGGGTCGCCAGGTTCTAGTCCCGGTGCGGACAAAATCTGGAATTTGGTCTGTTAGCTGGAGAGGTGCCAGGTAGCTTCCTCAGCCTTGCCCTTGAGCAAGGCACCGAGCCCCCACCAGCTCAGGAGCGCTCGCTGTGTGCAGCCCCCTCATCCTGACATCTCTCCATCAGTGCATGTTCACAAGATCCTGTTAGTGCATGTGTGTGTATGTCAGCATGTGTGTGTGTAGCATGTCTCAATACCAGTTAAATCAAATATCCCCCACGCAGGGTTAATAAAGTTTAGCTCCTACTTCTAAAAGTTTTGTTTTTTTCGCCGTTCAGGCAAAGCCAGTGAAATAAACAAAAGCATTACCTTGAAATAAATCTTAAAAATAGAAGCTGACTTTGCTAAACTTTGTTGTAAGTGGGGAAATGAAGACGCTGTTTGGTTCTGTTGTCATCAGAGCTGCAAAGACTGTTCCCTCGTGATGAACTGTGGGCGTTTCCTCCCCTTTCTGGAGTCCATTAATAACCATGTTTACAGGATCCTAAATGATGCAGCTCCAGTTTGTGTTGACTGAGCGTGTCCCTCTCTGTGCAGAGATCCACTCGTGCCTCGTTGAAGGGAAGAATAAATTAAACAAGTTGACAAATCCCTTTTTGTTGTCATTGTGTCTTCGTTAGCGCCTGTGATCGATGAGGAGTGTAACAGTCTGCTTTTCACTGGGGGATATTTAACTGCTCACTTTGCAAATGCTCCTTTAAAGTCTCTTAGATTTGGCCTTCTGTTTTTGATAAAGATAATAGCAGTAATTCATCGCTAGCTTAAAGCAGCCTGCGGCGCGAGGAGAAGCAATGGATGTGTGTAAACGAGGAGCTTTCAACTTTGGACTGGAGGGCAGACTGGATGTCTTCATGGAGAGACTTTAACTGATAACAGCTTTAGAGGAAGAGGAAAGGTGGAAGAGGAGGGAGGGATTGATTGATGCTTGTTTTTCCTGAGTTGCTAAAGGCTAATCCCCTTTACTATTTATCAAAGCAGATACACAAATGAAACGTTACATTGAACAAATGAAACATCAGCAGGTTTCTTTCTTTAATGAGAATTTGCAGAGTACCTGTGGTTCATTTTTTGTGTCTTCTTCTTCCTCAGGGTTCATCTACACGGGGGACGTGGTCCACCGGATGCTAACGGCTACACAGTACATCGCTCCTCTGATGGCGAACTTTGACCCCAGTGTCTCCAGAAACTCTACAGTCATCTACTTTGACAACGGTAACCCCAGCTTCCCTCCAATATCTCCCTTATGCCTGAACATTATACACTGCTGGCGGCGCTCGTTTTCAATACAAAACCACTTAGCTAAGCGTTTTTAGCATTCAGCGCCATGAGCACTAAAACGCCCCGGGTGTCAGCTGTTTGTTGTTGCTGCGCTCACAGTTGAAAGACGCGCAACAGCACAACGCTCGTCAATGTTCATTCTCACTCACTGACAAATCAAAATCAAGAAGGGGCAGGACTTCTGATATCAAAAACAATTCCAGGTGCAGAGCTGCTGCTGAAGCCAGGATGATTAAAGCAAATAATACGCAATTTAAAACAAACCTAATGGACATTACTGAGGGAAGCAGAAGTCACTTTAGTAACCTAGCAACAATGAGCGCTGGTGAGAAGCGCTCTGAAAAGGATCACTCAAAAATAAAAACTAGAGAAATGTAAAGATTTTTTTTTACTCGTCCAAATGTTCACACAAAGCCAGCAGCGCTTCAAGAGTCTGTCGGGGCCCTCGGTAAAAGTTCATTGTGGTGGCCTCCAACCAGCGTTCATCACCATCATTTCTGCCGGTGTCCCAACGCTTACTCTTCTTTTTCATCTCCTATAGACGGATAATTCCTCTTCAGTTTTCTTTGTTGGCTTTCATCGACAAACTTTGTGTTTTCACAGCGATAATGCTGCAACGCTCAGCAGAGAAATGAGAGTGAGTGCTGTCTGATGGGGCCCCCTTAGGGAGGTTTTCTACTGTTGTTGCAAAATTTGCCCATTTTGAGCCACTGTAGTTTAAAGTTTGTGATCCCTCAGGGGCCCACTATTGGTCCGGGGCCCCGAGCAGTTGCCTGCCTTGCCTGTTGACAAACAGCGCCTCTGCACACAGCGTTTCTAATCATTGATTGTAGTTGTTCTTATTAATGAAATATTCTAGTTAATCCATCTCCACATTGCCGCTTAAATTCAGCATCCTCCTTTTCTGATAAACCCCCCCCCCCCCCTCACCGTCTGCTCTGGTGGTTATCCGTCATGTCTGAACCTCTGCAGTGCAGTGACTGACCTTCTGCTGTGGCGTCCATCATCAGACTTTCACTAACGTGGCAGCCGATCGATTCTCAGCCCGCCCGATCCCCAACACAACCGTCCATCAGTCAACGTCCTGCCAATGCAGCAGCTGAACGCTACTGTCTGTTACGCTGTGGGAGAAGCACTTTCACAGCAGAGGTGAAGTGTTAGACGTTACTGTCACAGAGACGGTGTGAAGCCTCTTATCAGACGTTTTGTTTTTGTCATTTATAATCTGCTCAATAAAGAATAGACAACATGGTTTAGGTTGGAGTGATGTTACACTTCACTGATGTGACTGTATTTTCTATAAAGGGAACATAATGACAGTGTCACATGTGACAAGATGATTTCCATTCAGCGATGCAGCGGTGCTCTAGCTCCCATTGGAGGTAGAAGACGAGCATTTATTAATCCATCACTTCTGGGATGATTTCAAGTCTTCTGTCCCTGAAAGGAGCCACAACGCTGACGTCTGATCCCCCCTAAAATGTCTTCAAGACTCGGCTTGTGTAACAGAGATGGATTTAGTTTGTGTTGAGTTCATGCAGCGTGTGAAGTTTGCCAGTGGAATTAGAAACAAGGCCAGTGTTTACTCCCTCCTCGCCTCCTCACCCTCTCTGTATTTTTAGACACAAAAACCCCCAGATAGTACAACCCCCCCTCCTGAACTCGATGCACAATAAGCAGACTTATATTCAGAATCACTCGTGCTGACTCAGTGAGTAAGCTAGCATCAATGTAGTGCTCTGCTCCTCCCTCTAATATTCACCCGTTTCCTCTACTTTCCTCCAAACTGTCCGCAGAGAAACTACATTTCATCTCCCCCTCCGGTTGGGAGCTCTGGCTTTGTGACTTGAAAATGGATGAGTTGTGTTAACAAACCTTTACCGGCCTGGCTAACGGCCAAATGACTGGAGTCGGAGTAGGGAATGGCTTTCACATCAATAGGTTCTCACAAAGTCCACAGTAAATCAGAACGGTGTTAAGAGTAATGGGAGCCCACAGTCTGGAGGGTGGAGCTGGACGCCTCCTGATTCTGTGTCTCCAAAATAAGACAACGACTAATGACGACTCCATGTGGAGGAGTGTGATTTGGAGTTGTAGCAGTGGCTGTTAAGTTTCTCTTAAACTTACTGATTGACCGATTTAGTCGTTGTCATTCAGTCCAGAATACATCTGTCTACATCTGTCTTTGTACTGATTGCTAAGACACCAATTTTACAAATAACACATTTTATCACGTAAACATATAGGGCTTTCACACCTGCAGAAAACTCCTGAAAATCTCTGCAGGAGGAGCTGCATGTGTGAATGCAAACAGCAGAATTGTTGATGCAGACTTTATTTACAGTTAGCCTGCTAGTATTTTTCTGCAGCAAGTCGGAGTGAGCTGATGTGAGAACGCAGCAGGATATTCTCCGGAGAATTCACCTCAAGTCAGTGGGAGGGGGTGGGGATTGTGTTTTCTGTTCTCCACTATGTTTTGCCAGATCTACATGATCTCTGTAACCACCCCCACCACGCCTTGATTTGATTTGGTTCTGTCTCTAAAGTTTTATTATTTCAGTTTCTCCTCTTGTGTGTTTTTACTTCAGTGCTCACACTGCCTCACTGTCAATCACGTCACACCCACAGGGGGGGAAACGAAGCCTCTGCCAGGAAACAGTCCCTCAAAAACATATCGCCTAACAAACATTTCAGCTACACTGATGTCTTCTTCATCACAGGCTTCTGCACAGTCAGCGGTTCATTTCATGCTACACCAGAGACAGACAGATGATGTTTCAAAAGAGAGGAAACACAAGACAGTGTTAGCTATCTGTAGATAGTATAACTGTCAGTGATGACTGTATTTCCCCTTTAATCCATGAGATTCTGTTTGGTTCCACATGTGGTGATGAGCTGTACTGTGGGTCTCTCTCTCCTTTAGGTACAGCTCTGGTGGTGCAGTGGGACCACGTCCACCTGCAGGACAACTACAACCTGGGGAGCTTCACCTTCCAGGCCACGCTGCACAACACCGGCAGGATTGTTTTTGCATACAAAGAGGTCAGTGCTCATCATCCAAACTGTTTTTCTACTTTAACTCCAGGATCTGATCTTTCACTTTTCTAGGCAGCAATTTAAAGTCCTCCAGCTTGGATATCAAGTCAGTTAGACTTTATTTTATTTCATTAAAGGAAGAATGTGTGACTTTTTGATCCAGTAGATGTCGCACCTTGAGCTCCAGCATTAAACCAAAACAAACTGCTGTTAGGCCACGCCTCCTCCATACTGAAGCCTCCGCTCTCCTCCAGAGACACACCTCCAACCCCCCTCCACTCATGTTCACACAAAGGAGTTATGAATTAGAACACACCATAATTAAGTACCGTTAAGAGCAAGCAATTGTCCTTCACATTGTTGTGTTAGCATGCTAATGTTAGCGCTCTTCAGTTAGCTCGTAGCTTCACATTGTCGTGTCAGCATGCTAATGTTAGCGCTCTTCAGTCAGCTCGTAGCTTCACATTGTTGTGTTAGCATGCTAATGTTAGCGCTCTTTAGTCAGCTCGTAGCTTCACATTGTTGTGTTAGCATGCTAATGTTAGCGCTCTTTAGTTAGCTCGTAGCTTCACATTGTTGTGTTAGCATGCTAATGTTAGCGCTCTTTAGTTAGCTCGTAGCTTCACATTGTTGTGTTAGCATGCTAATGTTAGCGCTCTTCAGTCAGCTCGTAGCTTCACATTGTTGTGTTAGCATGCTAATGTTAGCGCTCTTTAGTTAGCTCGTAGCTTCACATTGTTGTGTTAGCATGCTAATGTTAGCGCTCTTCAGTCAGCTCGTAGCTTCACATTGTTGTGTTAGCATGCTAATGTTAGCGCTCTTCAGTCAGCTCGTAGCTTCACATTGTTGTGTTAGCATGCTAATGTTAGCGCTCTTTAGTTAGCTCGTAGCTTCACATTTCATGTAAACTGACACAGAATGAGCGTGATCTAAAAACTCTTACTAACATCCAAATAATCAGTGAGTATGTTCTTCTTCTTCTCTCTAGTTCTTGACTAAAACAGCTTTTATACACAAGGGGAGGAGCCGGCCGTCCCGTCCATGTAAACACGGCTCTGACAACAACACAGCCAGCGGGACTCGAGCTTCTCCCTCATTGTAGACAGTCAGGACTCAGAGACACGTTTACACAGGACAGACTTTATGATTTATTTATGTGGAACATGTTGTTTGTTACATTTCCTGCAGCCCTCGACTTTTAAGCTAAGAACAAACATGCACACGATGTTTCAGGTCTTTTGGTCCGAGGACTGTGGACAAAATAAAACGTTATACGATGAATAAAATATGACATAATGTCCTCATACTGTTCCATGTGCTTTTTTCAGCTGTTACATCACGGCAAAAAGTATGTCTGACTTTTCTATTAGATGTCCAAATGGAGTCTTTTCATTTTGTACAATTCAAAAACGCACCGTAACAACTAATAATTGTTGAAAATGAGAATGTAATGAAAGATATTATCTAACAGAGACTGCTTTAAGAGGGAGAAACTGCAACAACCAAGTACTGATGCACAATGATTACAGTGGTTACATCAGCACACTAAGACATGTTATGTGATTTGTTATGTTCTCCTCATTGTGCTGCTATGTGATTGGTTAAAAAAAGAGTCATCTGTTTTTGACATGAAATCAAAGTTTTGCATGATCCTTTATGATTTCCAGGTCCGTTTGTTGTATTTGAACTTCACCTGATTCATCTTTATAATATTACCCAGACACTTGTTCCTCCTTTTCATCTCATGTTTACTCTCTGCACAAAAAGAGGCCATATGCTTATTGAAGCTGTATCCTGCCGTCACAGATTCCCGCGGGAGAGACGGTAATAAATTGGTTTGAATTGAAGTGCTGTCAGACCGGGTGGCCTGCTTCTGTTTCCCCGGCCCGTCCCAGACAGACTGTCGTGCTTCTGGTAATTGATTTTTCTCTTCTTCTATTTCAGATCCCCATCGAGGTGTCTGAGATCAGCTCTGTCAATCACCCGGTGAAGGTGGGCCTGTCGGATGCCTTTGTGGTGGTCCACAAGATCCAGCAGATACCCAGTGAGTCTCAAATGGTCATTTCTGGTTGACTCATGTCCCCGCAGCGCTCTTTTATAAAATAACCCGAGAAACAATTCATGATCTAAACCTTTCCTCTCAAGGATGATTCTATAATCATTCAAATCTAAGTAGGTAGGGACAGGGGCGTGATGTCCAGATGGGTGGACAGGGGTGGCATGGGCTTATAAAACTTTAAAGGACATGAGTGTGCTGACCTTTCTGTTTTCTCATATCAGCCGTCACCATGGCGGCGCGAACGCAAACAGAAAGTTCTCAGGAAACTCCGTATAGGGCAGGGGTTCTCAAACTGTTTGGGCTTGTTCACCCCCTTACAGACTTTATTTCAGCAAGTACCCCCTTATCTGGCCAAAGTCATTTTTCAGGAAATAATTTGGGAAAAGAACATTACTAAACAAATGTATGTGGTCTTCATCTGTCTGTGTACGAGCATAAACTGCAGCATGATAAAATGAACACATGAGCTCCGGTCTACGATCTCCCTGTTTTTGCAGATCGTCAACACGTTTAAATCCTTCACGATCTAAGATCGTTATTTCACACACCACTAGTTTGCTTTGATGCAACTTTTTTTAATGACATTTGTCACGTACCCCCTGTAGTACTCCCACGTACCCCTAGGGGGGTAGAAACACTGCTATAGGAGACAGTTTCTCTTCAGAACCGTTTGGTGGGAAAACACCCGCTAACTGCACGATAGGATAGACAGCTTGCAGGGGCAGTGACAGTACTGAAGGGAGGCGGGGCTAAACAAAGTGGCACTCATCAACTTTTTATTTTGACCCTTTAAACTGTTTCTTGTAGCTTTGAGTTCAGCCCCTCTCTGTTTCTCTTGAAGCTCCGCCTGTCACCACCCCCCCCCCAGTGGGCCGAGCTGTGGGCTCCGCTCCAGATCTGCTTCTCCCTGTTCCCCTGTTCGCTTTTTAGTTACTACAATTTAGGCTCATTAAATTTAAAGTGAGCGAAAGTTGAGAACTTCAAACCTTTTCATCTACAGTCAAACCCCCCCCCCCCTCATCTGTTTCGATTCAACGTCCTCCACTGTAATGAGTTGCCAGATGTAATTTATTCAGTCATTTAAACAGCATTTATTGTGTGTGTAACTTGGAAAGCATTTATTTGAAGTATTCTAACTTAACCCAGTATATAGAGTAGTTCTTTGTGTTCATGTTCGCTGATCTGGACTGGGAGGTAAATTACAGCTGCATTTATGCCTCTAAAGGGATTTTTGGAGACTGGGGATGTTTTGAAAAAGACTGACAGGTTTTTTTCGGTGTCATCTGAAGGCTGCGAGATCTCTTTATTGAAGGAGAGATTTTTATTTAAACCTGTTAGCGAGGTCCTCCCAGACTTCATAAAGCGAGCCGTCTTTGATGCCGGTGTCACAGCGTGATGAAACCCGAGGGTGCCTGCTCATGGAGTGATGAAATCTTGGATGGAAGCAGATTGACACCGAGGTTTTATGTTAAACATGAATGATGATTCAGAATAGTTTGCTCCTGTTTGTGTCACAACTGTCTGGCTCTCTCAGTAGCCCTGTTCAGACTGCCGCTTCAACTCTACAATTCACTGAGCAGACTCTTTTCTCCAAAGCGACGTACATCAGAGAGTAAGAACAACACAAGCAAGGATCTAGAAAAAACAATGTGAGTAAGAGCAAACGATCAGCTTTGAGTCTGATTGGACACACAGGTGCTGACAGGAAGTGACCAGAGGCAAAGCACAACATTGAGGGCAGTTCTTGAGAGCTCTAATCAGTATAGAAACCATCTTATAAGTCGTCGTTATCAAACAGAAACCATCGTCATTACCATCATCATCGGGCCTAAGTTTGGACATATTTCTCAGCTGATGAAAACAGGAGCAAAACTAGACATTGTTATGATGGTCAAGGCACAGAGACTGACCAAAAGAAGAATTGTTGGCTGGAAAAGATGCGTCAGAAAGTTCATGAAGAAAAAAACATCTTTTTTCTCTTTTGTCTGAAAATGTTCAACGTCTCGATCGAATGTCTCGATCTGCTTCAAAGCTTTTAACCGTTAATAAAATATCCTATGACGTGTTTTTCTCAAGCATCAAGGCAGTCTTCCTCGACTCATTTATGTCTTCTGTGTTAGACGTCCCTGTTTTGTGGCCATTAAGCTCTAATCGCACCAGAGAACTAAACCGAGAGGAGAGCAAGGAGCGCTAAAGGCCAACCCACGAGGAAGCGTTTCCTCTCACTTAATTGTCTCTGCAGCCAATTACTGCACCGCAACCATGGCAACCAGGGGACTTTCTTCTTTTTTTTCACTAGCTTTGCTGCAGATTAAAAGCTCAAATAAAACATTTTATACTTCCTCCAGGCAGGGCAAGGCCGTCCAGTAAAAGAAGGAGATGAGAGAGATTTGTGGGTGTCCTGTGGCCGGGCTGTGTAATTAACAGGTCAGGTACAAGAACATATGAAGACCCGGGCTTTAATAGACTCTCTGTTCTGTAGGATTAAACATGATCGGTCTCATTGAGTTAGTCTAAAAAGGAGAAAATGAAGTCCAGACCTGCCCTGACCTTTTTTTATATCATGTAACTGGATTAATAATCCTGATTTCTGGTGGGAGGAGGTCAAGACCAGAGTGATAACTCACATGACGGTTGAGTCTCTTTTCAATGTTGGATTTGTTTTCATGCGTTTCACAGCTGATCTCCGTGTAAAAGGAATCACTGTGTGCATGTTGGAGATCTCATTGAAGCAGAAGTGATGAGAGGTCGATTGAACACAGTGTACGATTTTGTGGAATGGGACCAAACAGACAGTCCAAGCTGTCATCTCATGTTAGACTCAATATCCACGCAGTTCTTTGATGTGTTTGAATATATTAGTAATTTTACCTTTTATATATGACAGTTTAAAGGAGCAGTATGTAACTCTGACACCTAGTGTTTAAAATGGGTACTGCAGTCTGAATTCTAAACATCATAGAGAGCTGTCTCTCCCCCCCCCCCCTCTCTAGAGTGGATGCTCACTCAGGTCACCATGTGGTGGACTCTGAAGCTTCAGTGTTTATCCAGCTCTGCATGGGTCTGTAAACCTTTCTGTGTTCTAACCTCTCTCCATTTTTCAAAAGCATCTCCAATATTGATCCTAGTTTGAGCACGTTTCTGCTCGTGGAGCTTATTAGAAACATGCAGAGGCTTTTTAGGTCGGGTACAATCACTTCTATCTGAACCACTTCTCTTGACCGCTTCCATCGCTGCAACACCTGTTGACCTGATAACTGCTCTCATATCTGACAAACCGAGGGGCGTCCAAAACGACTGAGTGGGGGCGTGTCTTAAAAGCGCCTACCTTCTCTGGTCCAAACAAATCCAGAGCATTCAGGAGCAGAATCTAAAGTTAGAAGGAGGACATACTGGCTGCTGCATTGTTGTCAGAGAAGCCAGCACTTCAACATAGCATGTTTCCTTAATGATCAGATAGTATGATACCTTTATCATTTCACTCTTACAGATTGCTCCTTTAAGGCAGTGAACCTTTGTGTGTTATCTTTTCCTAATGTGGGTTTAATTTTCATTTGTCTTAACTGAAATTTACTTTTCTTTTTTTGCTTCATTGCAAATCTCGTTTGCAAATCTGCCTCGTTTGCTTCTATCAGTGAGAGGTAGTTAAATGCTCATTTGGTGTTGTTTGTGTTGTGGCTGAAACCAGGCTATAATTGATCTGATTCTTGGCTTCCTTCCACCTACAAACCAGAGACCAGCCAGGCGTCAGAGTCTGCCCACACATCAGCTGCTTCAGGCTGGGGGGCTGACCTTCTTGTGGCCCCCACCGTGTCATTAGGCACCTGATAATCCCTTTGCTAGAGGCAAGAGGAAGTCAGGCACCAGGGGAGGAGAGGAGGGGAAGGGGAGGGGCGGACTTATGTTCAGGTTAGACGGCGGGCTGGCTCACATTTACTCCTTTGATCAGTTGTACTGCATGTAATCAAACCAAGCAGGTCTGCAGGGAAACAACATCCTGTCACATGACGGGTAACACTGTAGGCTGCACAGTCAGCAATTCATCCACTGCAAAATAAAAAGAAACTTGAATGTTGTTAAATTAATAGTTTAACATGTTCTCCTTGAATTTAGATTTATTAAAGTTTTGGTCACCTAAAGGTCACATATCCTCCTCCTCCTCTTCAGTGTAAATAAGTCTCAGAGCTCCTCAAAACATGTGTGTGAAGTTTCTTGTTCTAAATCCACTCTGATCCTGTATTTGATCATGTCTATAAACCCTTCTATTTCAGCCCTGCTCAGAACAGGCTGTTTCTGTGTCTGTACCTTTAAATATGTAAATGAGCTGTGTCTGACCACGCCCCCTCTCTGGAAGGGCTTGGGTGTACTCGGTCTTTCTTGCTTCATGTCCTATTGTTTACGGTGAGAAGGCAGACTCAGAGGGCAGAACAAACACCTAGCTGTGGGAGTGTCACCCACCTGGGGGAGGGGTTACTGCCCTTTGTGATGTCATGAAGGGAACATCTCCAAACAGCCTGTTTGAGCACACATTTTCTGAAAAGTGGAGCCACTCTACAGATGGAGCTTGGTGCTCTCAGTCGTACAAAAAATAATTCAGTAGATAACTTCTTCATGACAGGAACCAAAGAAAATACTGGAGCACATCGTTTGTGTTTTAGCCTTCAGGTCTCTGGGCTGTTACATTAAAGACAGACATAAGGATGTCTGATGGGAGAGAGTGAAATGTCAAACTCCTCCTTATATTTGAAGCCGTTTCAGCGTTTTACAAAAACTCCATGATGAATGAGTCCCCTCTCACTCTGTATGTTAAACAGCCACACGGTGAGGTGCTGGATTGGATTTCAATTCTGTAGCTCATTGCTCTGGCAAACAGAAGCAATAGGAAATGTCATGTATTGAGCAATGGCCGATGCATATTGCTGTGCATCGCGGTGAGTTATTTTAAATCACACTACAATCCAGTTAGAGTTCAGATCAACCCTCTGTATCAACCGAGGACTTTACTATCAGATCTATCAGGGCCTCTTTAACAAAGATCCTCATTAATTATCATCTTTTCCATTTTCAACTGATGGCAGTAAAGAAGCATGTTCATCGAGAGCCGGCAGCCCGTTTCCCACTCCTGAGTTATAACTGCCAGAATGCAATGAGAGTCAATGATGTATCTAATCAATCGCTCTGTCGTTCCGCCGGCTGATGACTCGCTGTTACAGATGAGCGGGAAGGCAGCCTTTCAACACGCTCTGATTGATATCGGCTCCTGGGGGGAAATTGCCCCCCGTCCATTGCCAAGTTTGAGCTGATGCCGGGACACAAAGAAAGAGGGTGAAATAAAGTGCTGTGGTAGCATCCCTCATGGCCTGATTCAGCCTCCCGCTCCCTGCTCTCCCTGCTCTCCGGCGACCCCTTGTCCCAGTTTTTATCTCCGGTCGGGAGATTTGCGATGGTTTGCTCACTCTCTCATTCTCTTTTTCACAGATGTGAGGCGGCGGACGATCTACGAGTACCACCGCGTGGAGCTGACCAAGATGAGGATCACCAATTCTACAGCTGTGGAAATATTTCCTTTAGCCAGTAAGAAGAATTTATTCTATTAGGTTTCTAACTAAGAGGGATGCTTAATCCTTATACTGCATGATTATATCTTTGTGTAAATTGTTTGTGATTTTGACCCCGTTGTGTCGTTTCCTCATCTTCAGCTTGTCTCCAGTTCACCAGCTGCAGCACCTGCATCTACTCACAGATCAACTTCAACTGTAGCTGGTGCCATCGGCTCAACAGGTGGGACCTTTAACGCTTCACAGATGAAGCTGTCACTCCAAACTCTGCCTACTGATGATTTTTGATCAGTTTGTTTGAGTCAATAATAATGTCCATCACGATGTCAAAAAAGACCAACATGACACAAAAAAACAGCCACTTGGGTTTGTCATACCTCGTTGTATATTTATCATTTCCACCAAGCGGTCTGGTTCAGTTCAGTGCAGTGCTGTGCAGTACGGTGCTGTGCAGTACGGTGCGTGCAGTACGGTGCTGTGCAGTACGGTGCTGTGCAGTACGGTGCGGTGCTGTGCAGTACGGTGCGGTGCGATACCCATTTATTGGCGTTTCCACCGTCCAAAGTTGGGAATGTTACCAAAATAAGGGATCCAGACAGTCCTACTTTTTTTGGTACCCAACAATGTAGGTTCCTTTTGGAGAATGTTTAGACACCTGTTACTTGATCCAAGGCATGGAATCAGACTGCACATGTACATTTTGGTAAGATAAAGCTCCTACCTTTTGTTGTGTCCACTGTGCAGTGTCCCTCCAGCCCTGGATGCAGCAGTGTCTGGTCATTCTTCCCAGTGTGCTCGCAGCACCATTATGTAGAAGAGTAAATGCTCTTGACCAATCAGACAGAGACGGCTTGTGAATCGAGGATCTGTTTATTTCTCTTGGAGCAGTTCTTTTATAGCATCCCAATCGTCCCGTCATGGGCAATCATCACACTGAGCAATTACAACATGTGTGCTATATAAAGACCGTTTCCTAGAAGTTTGTTGGCCGGACAAACTGCTCTATTACCAGGAAAGGGTGGCTGGGTATGTGTGTACGTGTATCAGAACATGACCTTATGACCTGGCTAAATTCAGATGTTAGATAACTATTGGTTTTTGCCTGTTGCTGTCCAGATTGTGTGTTTCTGTAATGATTCAACCTTTCAAACTACAACATCTGTTGGAGTGCCAAGGGTACTGATCCGACTCTAAAGGGTCCTTTGTTTACTGTGTCCCTGTTCTTCTTCTTCGTTGAACTTCATTAATAGCGAGCTGCACTGTGTTGGGCTGCTGTGATGTCACACTGTTACATAGCTGAAGCGGCTATCTCCATCTAGCTTAAACTCTGCTTACCAAATAAGTATACGGTTGGCTGTGAAAACGAAAGCAAGTTCAGGGTTTAACCTACCAGACTGTACTGAACCAAACCGGACCACTCGGTGGAAACGGGGCTTAAGACCCCTGTAGAGTACATGGGCTCTGTCAGTAAGCTTTATATTGATAGATTTAAAAAAATAATGCATTTCCAGACTGATTAAGACGGTCTACTAAAGTCCTTTTCAGAGAGTTGTGAACTGACGAGACAGCAGTTTTTATTCCTCATTCATTCAACTCACACGTCTCCTGTCAGCCTCCGCCGCGCTCCTTATCTCACCCTTCCTGTCTCCCTGCACTTCAAACTAAAGTAAATATTTGAGCTGCTAAAGAAGTGTGAGAGTTCCTCACCCTGTCAGCTGAAATATGAGCTGTGTTGGGAAAAGGGGGGGGAGGGGATTGAGTTAAATATCATCCATTGACTGATTTTCATGGATATTTGGATTTAAATGAATTAGATGTTTACGGTCCTGATTAGTATCTCGACTCTTATTTTGGAGGTCGTTGTTAGGATTCAGTTGACCCGACTTTTGCAGCCACCATCTTTTGTCAAAAGTCTGAACGCCTCCTTCATTAAATATGAATCTGCCTCTTCTTTATTTTCAACTCGTGGTTTATTCTGCGGCTGACTGGAGAAATGTGCGGCACTATTTCCTCGTCTTGTTTAGGACTTATATTTGACTTTCCTGCTGCTCTGCATCTTTAAATCCTCCTGCCTTCAACGGGCTAATTTACAGCGCCCCGCGACGCAAAGACGTGTTTTTTGTTCCCTCTCAGTAATTTAAGGACGACCATGGCGGGACGCTGTATGCCTGTGGCGGTGCTCTCATTAAGCTGCATTTTAATGAGCTCTCTAGCAGCATTAATATCTGACTGCTCAGCCGCACTCTACCCTTTGTATCCTTCAGCCACTTCCTTTGAAAACGCCATGCACGCTTTAAACACGCTAATTAAAAAGCGTGGCGGCGGCTCCGGGGTTAATGTTAATGAAAGGCTCTGGCATTTTAAAAGAAGAGCCTTAATGAACTTCTCTCACTGTGAGTTGCTGTGAAGGTGAGAGCGTGCCGCCTGCAGAAGTTGTAAAGCACATCAGGTTGTTACAGCAGGTTAATAAAGAGTGACAGAAGTCCCAGAGCGCCGTGCAGCCAGACGCCAGGCGCGTTCAGAGGGAGGCCGAGTGTTGTTTACTAAAGAAGCACAGATGGGGAGCATCATAAATGTAAACTCAAAGACCATTAATCAGAGTTAAAGAGACAAATAATGAGATTTAACTCTCAAGGAAACACATTAAACACTTCAGTTCAGTAATCTGAGACATCATGACATCTGATCTTCAGCTCGCCCGGCCCAGAGAAATGTTCCTAAAAAATCACAATCAGAAATACTTTCTTAATCCCAGGGGGAAGGGTGGTTGCTACAGTTGTTCTTAAAGTCTTTATTTTACCATTTTTCTCACTTAAATGTAGAAATCAAGTATCTCCTCTGAAAATAACTCTGTGAGTCATGACTGTCTACAATGGGTGTAACACCCGAGTCCCACTGTCTGTGATGTTTTCAGAGTTTTCAGAGTCCTATCTTCACTTTGTTTACATCGCCGGGACGGCCGGCTGACTCCTCCCCTCGTGTATAAAAGTTGTTTAATTGAGGGACTAGAGAAAAGAAGAATAACATACTGTACTCACTGCTTAACTGTGTTTCTAGATCACGCTCATTTCAGGTAAATTTACATGCAGTGTGAAGATACCAGCATAATAAAGATCGCTAGCATTAGCATGCTAACACAACAATGCAGCGCCAGTTGTTTTGGTTTCATGCTGGTGCTCAAGGGCGACATCTGCTGGATCAAAACATCACATATAAAGACTTTAAACACAAAATATCAGTAGGAAGTAGGACTAGGCGATATGATCTTAAATGAATATCATGATTAATTGAACATTTGACCTCGATTACGATTAATGAACGATTATTTTGTTTTTGTTTTTTGCCCTCATAGCTCTCTGACGAGGTCTCTACTGTAAATATCTTCAACTATTAAAGCTGGGATGTGTTTTCTTTTTCTTCAAGTTAAAGTCAAACTGGTTTACAGCATTTTGAAATAAAAATCTTTTTTCCCGAAGGTAAAAGACAAAAAATAAAAACAGACATACTATAAACATAAAAGCACAATAGAGCACAGAGAACCAGGGGAGTTACGATACAACAACAGCTATTTACCTGAAATCTGTTTCCTGTTGGTAATCCTTTCCAACATTCATCAAACACATCACTCTTCAATCTCAAAATAAATGTTGGGGATATGTTTTCTAATGACAGAGTTCATATCTGATGAACTATTTTGAGGTTATTTATTGAATATTTCAAACTGAAATCAAAGCTTGAAATGAAAACGACACATTTTAGTTTGAAAGTAGAAATTAACTTCTGTAGAAAATAAATAACTTTCTGCATTTCTTGCAAACTGTTTTTCCTCAGTGTTTACATTTGACTTCTTTTTCTTGCTTCCATGTCGCCGATTAGATGTGTAGTCACATGACTCTGCCCTGAAAATAATCAAAATAATCGACATGTGCAAGATTACGCAGCGGTGCAGCAGGTCGGTCCAGATGGGCGGTCTCACAAAGCTAAATTAAATCAGTGATTTGTGCTGTGGAGAAAGTATTAAACTATTGATCTGATTCAAAGTCAATCTTGAGGATTAGAAGGTGCAAAGAGTATCTCGACGTCTTCCATGAAATTTTTAGCGGCTTCTCAAGTATGACTCCAAATAGTGAAATCAATCCGACCTGCTTTGAATGCAGGACTCCTGAAGAGATGTGGGTTCATTTATATTCAGATAAAGCCTCCGTGCTACATTTCTAATTACAAGCACTGTAACCTCACAGGCGCACAAGACGGCAAACCAGCAGGAATGGATTCTACTGAGATGAAACACAGGCTCCACATGGGGACAGGTTAGAGCTGTGATAGTGTGTCTCAGTCTGCCTCCCTCTCTGGGGGGAGGAGTGGGGAGGGGGGGGGGGGCAGTCAGGGGAAAGTGAAGGATTAAGCAGAGGAATCTGTCTCGGCTGATTGAACAGATGAAGTAGATTTTTTTAGTTCGGGGGTTACAAAGGAAAAGGATGATCGGAGAGGCAGAATGATGAAATTGACTCCTTCACATAAAGACATTATCATAAGAATATGTTCTGCAGAGAGATTGGGCCTGCTGGGTAAATGTGTGAGACTCTACTGGACTCACACACACAAAGCACTACACAGCTGCTCTGCATTGTAAGTGGGTCAGAGGTTGTTTCATGTGTCTTATTTTTCCCTACACGTCTCCCACCTACAGCTTTGTAACTCTCACAGAACACAGTGTGGGTGCACTCTCTTACTTTGAATCCAAACACGATGCTGTTTGTGCCAAAGGGCCAAAGACGGCCAGTTCACCAGTGGGCGAGTTATATATTTCTGATCCGTTTACAGCATGAAGGATTAGTAAGTGCTGCCTCGATTACCGTCTGCCTCTTGAGGTTATTAAAAGTCTTGGACCGTGATGCACAAACGGCTCAAAATCACACTTTTCCCCAAGAACCCACGAACCATTGAAGCTCTCATTAAAGATCCAACTCATCATAGTCTCTACACAACCACTAAACCACTCCCTCCTCACATCCTCAGATCCAAAACTTCACTTTAAAACTTACACATTTTTTCTCCAGGCATGAGGACATAAGCAGAGAGATGCCTTGTTGGAAAATGTGGAATCCTGCATTCCTGGAGCTCTGCTGATGTTAGGGAGCAAAAGAAGTCGTTTCTGAATCAGAATCAGAAATATTTTATTTATCCCAGGGGGAAATTTGTTTGCTACCGTGGCTCATAGCACCAAAAATCAGTAGGAAGTACAGATAAGTTCACAATATAAAATTTAAAAAAAATAGTATAACAATATAATAAGCATAAGTACCAAGTGAAAGAAATAATAAAGTAGTTTAAGTAATAAACTATGTTCAAGCGCATATTTACAAATATGAATATACACTGATGGATTAACAGTGTAGATATTACACAGTTCATGTATAGATAACACTTTTGATGTTTAAATATTGTCCAGTTTTCAACAGATTGCACAGGTTTAGGAGGAACATAGTCCAGGTAATAGTCCAGGAAAATTGCAGACTCAGTGTCTGAGTCTCAAATGGAAGAGTTTTCATTCTTTGTTTCCTTTTTAAATCTGTCTCTTGTAAATCTCCCGACCAAGTTCGTCACACCTGTATGATTTAAATATTCACTGTTCATGGTGTTTGTTCCCTCCGCCTGCAGATGTTCCAGTGGTTTTGACCGACTACGGCAGGACTGGGTGGACAACAGCTGCCCAGACGAGGTAAACAATGACGACGCTCTTCACCACGACTTGAATCTTTTTGGAGCTGCTCCAATAATGAATGCTTTGTTTTTTGGTTTTTTTTAAATCTTCCAGACCAAGGACAAGTTGTGTGACATCATTGACACGACGCATCTCTACCCCTTCACCACCGCGATTGTCGCCAAAACAACACCGAGGAGCAAAGAAGCCACAGTGGACAAGGACTCGCCCTCCACCTCCCACCCTCCCACCAGCGTCCCCACTGAAGGTAAGCAGCCCCAAAACACAGAGCTGGATCAAGGCCACGCTGCGCCGTGTTACTGAGACCAGAGCTTTCTTTTTTAAGTCGTGATGGATGCTGGCACGATGTTAAATGAAGTGTATTAGCTGGAACTGATCTTTATTGGTATTGATGCGTTTTCTTCTTTAACAACATGAATGACACACTTTTCTCTTTTGGAGAAGGCATAAATATGTTCTGTAGCTCACCACCAGATGGCAGGCACTGGAGCAGAGCACCGCAGCTGTGTTTTACAAAGTTTTTAACAATGCAGATTGAATTAGAGCAAATGCATGCAGTCGAAAATACATGCACCAGCACAAACCTGTGATCATTCTGTGCAGCCCGACTGGTTACCATCAATCCTAGTTTTCTTCAAGAGGACGTATCATCCCCCTCCTCCACCTTTTCAAACAGTCCCCTGTGGTCTAAATGAAACATCTGTGCTGTGCTTTTTTTTTACCAGAATCCCACTGTGACATCACAAGGAGAGCACATTTGAAACAGATCATTTTTCTCTGTGTTGTAAGACTTATGCAGACCACAAACAAAGGACTGGATGGTTTATTTCACATGTTGTGGGTCAGTAGACTCTCAGGTTACACAGATATATGTTCAGAAACACTGTAGAAGTGCTATTGACTGATGAAGATGAAAAACAACACATGAATCATACAGAAATAAAATCCTTTTCTGGACAAAGATCAGTTTTTTCAGAACAGAAATTGTTCAGGGACAACATATTGAACTTGTCACATGTACTACATTTCGGTTCTAATGCACATGATCTCAGAGAGGAAGCGAGAGGAGAAACTGCCGAGGTGTCCTTTAAAGTTTTTCCTCCATCTTTTCTCTGGAGATGTAGAAGTTACGCTGAGTGAGCTGGATTTATGCTGCCAATTTTCAGCTTATTTCCCCTTTTATGGCTTTTTAGCAAATTTATTTAAGTAAACAGAGACTCAATCTGAACCAGCTCCACATGTGGACGTGTTAAATCAAAACGATCGGATGGAGACACTCACCTGCTGTCTTCAATTCAAAGATGGTGGGTATAAAAACGGCATGCTCGCTTCTCTGTTGTGTTGATTGTATGTGGCTCCTGTGATGCATTGTGGGCAAACAACCCACTGAGATGATGGACGGCCAATCTTTTAGACCTCTCCTCCTGTCCTTGTGATTAAAGAATATGAGAGTGGGCGAGCCTCTGAAGGACGCTCAGCTTCAACTGTCTACCTCACAGGACTCAGACACCATAGTTTGTCTTGACATGACTTACAAGATTTAAATAATAAATTTGGCTGTTAAAGACGTAGAGTGATCCAAAAAACACGAGAGTGTAAGGGTAGACTGTCCTTTATGAAGTGAAAACAATGTTTTTCTGACTTCCAGCCAAACTCTGATGGAATCTCTACGAGAGACATCAAGTTAAAAATCTGAAGTTTGCCTTTTGGAAGAACTTCCCAAAAAAATAAAACTCAAATGTATGACAAATGTTAAAGGTGCAATATTTAGAATTTACACTAAAATATCTAAATAAGTTAAAGGACTGACTAAACCTGTGTGACTTATAAAAGACTAAAGAGCTTTTTAGTTGTGTAAGAGTGAAGCGTCTGCAGTGTTATTTCAAAGCAAAGCAACCGCCGGTGAAGTGGAGCCGATGCAGAAGTGCAAAATCCTGCAGTTCGTCCTGCAGTTTGAGTGTTTGTCTGTTTTGATTTGATGAAGGATTATTGATTGACAGGTGGGCGCGGTGTAACGGTTTGTCAGGAGGTTTAAAACCCGCCTCAGCTCCAGCTCTCAGCCTGTCGTTAGGTTGACTGAAAGTTAGACTGAGACAGCATTTCCAGCATGGAGACCGCCATCGATGGGACTCCAGCGCCCCCTGCAGGAACAGACAGTTGATGTCACTCCATAAGTAATCTAATCTAATGACTTCATTTTCCTCTTTTGTCCAGTTACTTTTTAAGGCTTTCTACATTCAGGCCCAGGTTATCACTTATTTCATTCTCACAAGAAAAAGGAGCTCACTTTCAGCAGCCGACCTTTTGCTCCATCGCTCCTCCATTCATCACGGTGTGGGGGCTGAGTTTAAATGGACACTCAGCTGCAGGTGGGGCTGCTGCAGCTTTTTAAAGTGCTCAGGCTGGATGCAGTGACTTCAGGGCAGAGTGTGAAGACTGTCCAGCTGTGAGGCAAAAAACACAAAGTGTCACCCCCTCGAGATCAAACTATGTCTCCGTGGGAGAGCTGACAGACGAGCTAAAAGAACGAGCGTTAGTGTGACTGTATGTGTGTTAGCATGCAGGAGGTCAAAAGGTCATTCTTTGGTATTTGTCGTGTGCAGCCGACACAGAGGAACTTCTCTCTGACATGTACACCGGATCAGTTTCCAAACTCTCCTCGGCCTGTGTCTTCAGCTGCAGGGGTCAAAGGTCAGGTTACTGGTGGCTCACTGTCTACAGCTGGACGGGTTGGACTGCAGAAGAGAAACGTCTCCGAGTGGACGGCAGTATGTTGACAAATCTCGACATGGAAAGCTTCGATCTCTCTCTCCCTCTTTTGACATTAAACAAAAACTTCAGAGCGAATGCAGCCAGCTTAAAGAAACTCGTCTCCTTTAACCGTCCTCGTGCCTGACGGAGGTACGCACGCCACTTGACTTAAGTAAACAATGGAGTTGGCGGTTAAATTTGCGATTATAATTCTCTGTGCAGACTCAGAGAGGAAAAAACATTTGTCGGGGAGAAGAGGACAACATGGGTTGTGTATTCTTCAGTGAGAGCTGGAGGTCAGATTCTGTCAGACGCTTTATATTCTAGTTGTCCGGCGCACCTGTGCGGGTTGCGTCCTGCCGCTGGCCTCCCTCGTCTCCCGTGGTTATTGTAGTGACACACGGTTTCTGCCAGACCCTTTCATGACGTAATCATCAAGATTTATTTTTTTGTTATATATATTTGTGGGATTTTTTTGTGCCTTTAATGGAGAGACAGGAAAGTGGACAGAGTCAGAAATCAGGGAGAGAGAGAGAGAGTGCGGGAAAGGAGCCACAGGTGGGATTCAAACCTGGGTGGCACCAACCACTGCGCCACCAGCGCCCCAGTCATCAAGATTTTAAATTCTAAATATCAAACATGTTTGAAATAATTCAGGGCGTCCCCGGCGCTCGCAAAGCAGATCGGGGACGTTAAGATTGGATCTTTATACCACTTACACTACAAGAGAATCTGGTCCCTTCCCCACCAATATCAGGAAGGAGGAATCGAACCTCAAATCGGCCCGGTTATCCTGCAGTGTGATCCAGGCTTTAGTCACATGTCTGTGTTCATAAGAGGAAAGAGAGGCAGTCTAGAAAACTTGTGACTTGCATTCTTGTTCTCAGATGTAAATGAAATGTTTGTCCATATATTTGTGATATAAACAGACCCAGACAGTCGCTTTGTGTTCCTCCTCTGGCGGCGCGGGGAGACTTCAAGTCGTCTCCTCGGTGATACATATTCATGACTCTCACTGGTTTTTAGGGCTGTCACTTACAGTATGATAAGTCATTTAATGATTCATTTCAGACGCCTACATGGTGCTGAATTGAAAAAGGAAACTCCTCTTTGAATATCACAGTGCAGTGAAATGTATCTGCTGGTGTATGTGCCGCATTTGCATAATGTGAATCCTATGCTGTGTGTAAACGCAGCCTGCTAGCCTTGGAGGAGAATTGGGTCACGGCACATTTCCATATTTCACATGTGTAGTTAACCCCAGACAGATTTCTGTACGTGCTGAATTATGCATGCTGGACCATTATATTCAGGGCATTAATTTTTAATCCAATTGAAAGTGTTGTTCAATTTCATGTTGAAAGGAAAACGAGCCACTAATGAAAGAAGCTTCATTCTTGCAGGGAATTATTTACAAAAAAACAAGCTACAAAGAGAAATGTTGAATAATGTGTCTGAATGTCTTTCTCTCTCTGTCTCCTCACAGATGATACCAAGATCGCCCTGCATCTCAGAGACAACCAAGGTAGGTCCCCCCATCTCCCACAACGGAGGCGTCCGTTAACTGCTGTTGCCATGGCTGCAGATAAACTTTGCCTTTTACTTTCTTTTGTTTCTGTCTGCTTCTTTGACCGCCTCTTGTGTTTTCTTACCACCGAGGTGTTTGTCCCCGGGTTGCTTTCTGGTCTTTTCAGGAGGATTTATGTCAGGGACGTCGGGTGGTAGTAGTGCCAGATCAGGTTCGGGGAGCTCCCTCTACTCGGGAGCTCGACCTCTGCTGCAGACCGTCCCCACCAACAATCCCTGAGGAAAATAAATGTTTAAGCCACAAACACACCCTGATAACTGCAGCTAAAGAGAACATGGTGTAGTGAAAATACCTTTCTGGTGACAGGATGCAGAGGTTACTGTGAAAAGTATCTGTACATGAACAGTGCTGTGCTGGTGGTAAATATGTTTACAGCTGCCAGAAATCAACATTTCTTTTGAACTAAATGCAACATGCTTCACATGCAAATTTATGCAAAACATGTCGACTCTGAAACGACTTCCATCTCCATCACTTTTCAGAGATAGCTTTTCAAACGCTTCATTCTGCTGCTTGAGAGGAAATGGAAATCAGACGCTTCTATCATACTTCCATCACTCAGCACGCTCAGGCCGCCACCTCCAGCTGTCATGATATCGCTCTGCATGCGATCTTATTTCATGCATTTAACCTTTTCTTCACACCCATACCTGGCTTTAATGGAAGTCAAGGTGAACGGTAATCATTTCCGAGGCATGCACCAGGAGGGGACAGACAGAAGTATAAAGCATTCTGCTTCTACTTTTCACAGAATCGAGGACTTACTAAAACTATTACATCGGGGCTGGATATATGAGGCTGGATGTTTTTTTACCTGTTTGGCTCAAAATAAGTCATAACATGGGGCTTTCTTTTTTACCTTGACCTTGACAGGAGGTGTTGAGGCCACGTCATTTTCTTTCTCTGGAGTTTCTACTCAACACCTCAGGGTCTTTTAACAAAGAGTTTGAGTTATAGGCACGCTCAGTTGGCATTGTTAGCTTTCCAATAACCCCCATTAGCCATGTTCAGCTCTTCTGTTAGCGCTGATGAAAAGCTGTAAGCACGAGAACTCAGCCCAGTCTCATTAGTCCTCCTCCTGTTGTGTTTACTGTTGAAGAGCTCTGCTGTCCATTAGTGTTTAGTCTCCTCAGCTTCTAGCAGGCAGACAAACAAAGCTAATGGAGAATGAATGCAGGGAAATGTGCAGGCAATGCATAGTCCATTTAGATGCATGCACAGTTAGTTACAGTTAGGGTTACAGAGATTTAATGAGACAGCTGTCCTTGTCCCAGTATTAAAGCACTGAGGGAGAATCGATGTGTCGACAGAAGTATGTCTGACTCGTCTACAGTAGGTGGCGATATGCTTCCTTTCAACTAGTTACTGCTTGACCTTCTTCTGCTTCACCATTTGCCTGGCTGTATGACGGTGCACATACTGCACGGTATCCTTCCTGCTGATAGTGATACCTGAAAGCAGACCACAACAAGACTTCTGCTATGCTACTCGTTAGCTGTTGGACTTGACGTTCGAAGTCCAGCATGGATACTGTAGAGCGTGTGCAGAACGCCTGGTACGATTTCAGTTGGACTAACATTTGAAAGTGGGGGCGCCGTTAGCCTAGCGGTCATGTCGGAAAAAAAATGGATGAAATAAATCAGAGAAAATAGATTTAAGACTTAAATTGTATCTTGATCTGGCACCTCTCCAGCTACCAGACCAACTTCCAAGTTTGGTTTGCACTGGGACTTGAACTGGCGACCCTCCAGTTCCTAACCCAGGTCCCCAACCCAGGTCCCAACCCAGGTCCCTAACCCAGGTCCCCAACCCAGGTCCCTAACCCAGATCCCCAACCCAGGTCCCCAACCCAGGTCCCTACAGACTGAGTTACTGCCACACCCCTTAAATGTGGAGATTAGAAAGAGTCCAGATCGGTCTTTGAGCTCTTTCAGGGATCCAGATTGACCCACCTTCACAACAAGCATCCTGCTGCATATTTATTTAGTTTGATTTCTCATTGTGTCTGCAGCATCATTGTCAGTCTCATGCCCCCTGCTTCACCTACCAACACCACAGACTAACAGCCTGTCGCATTGTTTCGGCTTCAGCTAGACCTCGACAGCTCTCCAACTCTGACAGAAAAAAACACAAGAGAAACACAGAAAATCAGCTTTCCCCCTGAATGTTTTTTTTTCATTGAGAAAGTCATAATGTTCTTTTTCTCTGTCAGGTTGATTTTATTCTCAGTGGATATGTACAGTTGCATCTTGGAATCAGTTTGTCAGCTGGGTTATGGAGATGGCTTTGTTCAGTTTTTATTGTTAGTTTAGTGTGAAACCATTGCAGAGGATGTTTCAGCACGACCAATCATCCATATTTGGAATCCACATTCAGTACTGAATTACACAAGCAGGCGTTCACAGCGACTGCCCACATGCATTGGACAGGTTTGATTACCACCCGGCTATTCTGTGAGCTGGGAATCAATGAGGCGGGGAGCCAGGAGGAGGGAGCGTCTGGTTGGCTGACAGGCTCGGCGGTGGCTGTAGCTGCTAATTAAAGGCAGGGAGGAGGTTGTCGGGGGGGGGGCAGAGAAGATGAAATCTGTGCATAGATCTGGGCTTGAACCTGCTTTAAATCTCAGAACAGTTTCCCTTTGTGTTTTGTTCTTTTTCCTATCTGATTAGTTCTTCCAGCCGACAGATTGCTGGTGATGTTTCTCTTGTTTTGAGAGTTGGGAAATGTGCCTCAGTAGATGAAAACAGATATTAGTTTAAAGGATGCTCGCTTCATCTTCAAAAGAAAAAAAACACCTGCTGGGTCGACTTTGAGGCTCCACTATGTATCTGAGGAAGCACTTCAAAGATGACTGATGCCTTTAAAGAGGCAGTGAAGGACAGACTTGTTATGTAGTCACTGTACACAGCCTCTTCAGTTTGCATTGACACGACTGGAGGCGACAACTGGACTCTTATCTGCACCTATCGGCCTGTTCTCACCTCCTATCAGGAACATATGCTTCTAACCTTGGTTTAGGATTATTTGTACTTGCAGGAGAGAAAAAAGAACTGCTCATGAATACCTAAACAGAACCCAAGACGCTCATGCCACAGAGTCCTAAAGACCCAGCGTTAACCCTAACCCTGAGTGTGATCCCAGAGTGTTGGACATTTCTATTTTCAAACGTTGCATCAGTGAAGGAGTGAAGTGTCTCTGTTTGGTGTCTGTTCTCTCAGTCAATGTGATGATGTTTAGCAAAGGTCTGAGCTTTAAAAAAAACATGCAATGTATATGTTAAGGCTCAATTTGCAGATATAAGAATGGAAGGTATTGCTGAAGGATGAGTGCCCCCTGCTGGCCAACTCATGAACAGCAGAAAATAAGAAATCCTTTAAGTATCTCAGCATTTCAGCCGTTTGTATGAACACTGTCTTAACACACTTAATGATTTATATAGCAATGAACGGAAAGTAAACAGCAGCTCAAAGAAACAAATGTCCAAGACTTACATCAGCATTTCACCGGCTCTCTTTGAAGAGTTTTTTTAGTTAAACACACCAGCTCTTTGTTTGCTATGACTGACATTAAAGGACATCAATGTCAACGATCCAGGATTAGCTTAAAAGCTAACTTGCACCCTTCCTGACAAAGACAAAAAAGCATGTTAAAGCTGCAGTGAAATAGGTTGAATTGTAGGATATCCTAATTACCTTATATGGTCATTGCAATCCTGCAAGTGTGAAAGAAATCAATGAAATTGTCATTTTTTGTGTGTGTGTTGTTTTTCCAGTGATGCCTGCAGACAGCGCTGCAGACAGGATGCCAGGGTCACACCCTCTGCACATCGGTCTGATCCTCGGCATCCTCCTGGTGGTACTCATCATGATTGTCGGCGTGCTGGTCACCGTGTACATCTACCATCACCCGACCTCGGCCCCCAGCCTCTTCCTCATCGAGGTGAGAGGAGATGGAGCTTTAGAGACTGACAGCTCCAACGTTTGACTGAAGAAAGCTTCTGAACTGAAACGTGCACGAGAAGTCGGTTATTTACTCGGACAAACTGACTTCTAAAACTGCAAAGTGTGATGCCAAGAACAGCTATCTGTACAAACACACAGCAGCTCAGTGTGTTTCATCCTCTAATTCCTGACTCATGCATATGCATGAAGATGATGAAACTTGGTGCACAGTCTTTCTTAATAAGTGAAATTAAATTCCCCTGGTTGAGGTGTCGGTGCTGTTTGCTGCAGAGTGTGATACGACGCGTGGAGCTCAAACATCTTTGAAAAAACAAAACATGTTCAAAGATGTTCTCGTATCACAAGGTCGTCGTCAGTCACAGAGACTCTCTGATGTTTTTTTAAAATTTGTATTTATTTTTTATTCACCAAAACGTGCATACACACACTCACACAATAAATAAAAAAAGAGACACAAACAAGAGGGGAACTGTGGTACGATCCAGTTTTGCAAGCAGATTTAGACAAAAACAAACAAACAAACAAAACAAAAGGAAAAGAGTCAGTAAATAAAATGAATGAATTAGAAAGAGGGACAAAATAAGTAAATGAGCAAACAGGACAAAGTATGGGACAGTATAGTAATAAAATTATGTCAAATAAAACTGGTGGGAGATGTTGTACACATGGTGATTATGATTTAGTGTTTTTGTTTTTCACTTTGTATGGGTGCTAACATGATGAAATACAGACTGTTTGTAAATTATATTACAGAGACTCTCTGATGTTGATTGCACAGCCTGAAGTTAAGTTTCATGCATCGTGAACATCGGGCAAACCGGTGCATTGATCATGTCGAGTCTTAAACATCACAGCTGAAAACAGTCCCCAAAAAACGACTCGTGCATCAACCACAAAATGATGTCTTCTCCTCTATATAGTGCACCTTATAGTGAAGAGGGAGTGACTTCAGACATTAACTGTATATAAAGATGGACGATGAGTCTCCGCCTCCTCCCGTCCTAACAAAGTAAAACCAGAACATGTGAGAAACACTTTCCTCATGCCTCTCCTCTCCTGTCCAACTTTGCAGAGACGCCCAAGCAGGTGGCCGGCCATGAAGTTTCGCCGGGGCTCGGGCCACCCGGCCTACGCGGAGGTGGAGCCGGTGGGTCAGGAGAAGGAGGGCTTCATTGAGTCTGAGCAGTGCTGAGTGAAGAGGGGGCGTCTGCATCCCTCGTAGCCCCCCCCCCACCCACCCCACCCGCCCCTTTCAGTGTCGGCTCTCTTTCCTCCCGGACGTCACAAGAGAAGACCTCCAGGATCTGCTTTTTGGTGGAGGACGCTCAGTGTACACAAAACAGACTAAAAGACACGATTGAGGACCTGAGGCAGCGACATGAGCCTGATCCCAGACACGCCCACTGTTGAGCGACAGGGAACAGAGGGAGGGGCAACACTGACGTCATGGACTCAGGCGGCGTTGGCTCCAATCGCGTTGCCATGGAGGGATTGTACAGCCTGACTGCCTTGACTGGATTGTGGTGTGTCTGAGGTGGTGGATTATACCATATATATTTTAAGAAACAATGCAGAGTATGTGAACAGAGATTTCCACTTTTACTGTTGGTGGGGTTAAACTGTATAGGCCTTTGTGTATCCATCAGGTTTCCACTTCTTTTGCTTTCACTTCTCGTTGTTGTTTTTCACAGAGGTCGGCACATCTAATCCGTACAGACCATCGGTATTGCTTTTTCAATGCCATCGCGGGCTTAATTGACTTTTCCACTGCCGGCTCTGCACACACAGTTTTGCAGAAGTGTGATATGCCGCCAGCTGAGCTCCAATCACAGCAATCGATAGCAGCTTGGTGAGAAAAAAAGCTTAGCACACTCAGTACGTGTGTGACGTTTGACTGGTTTCTTTTTCTGAAAAAGAAAAGTGTAAGATGTTTATTGTTTTGTTTTCAGGGGAAGCCTCGAGCAGACATACATCCTTACATTTTTATTTACTCCATTTCTCCATGATAGCAAGTCATGTCCAGGAGACCTCAACTTATTTATTGACAAAACTTTATTAATTTGGGCAATGGCAACATGGCATGTTGTGGTCTGGCCTATCACATACTGTAGGGTTTTCACACCAGGAGGTATGTGTGAGACCAAACAGACTCAGACTTCCCCCGCAGTTTCTCTTGCCAGACTTCTAGTATTTTTTCCACAGCAAGTCCGAGTGAGCTGATGTGAGAACACAACAGGATATTATCAGGAGAATTCCCCTCCAGCAGGTGGGAGGGGCTGGTGATGGTTTATATCCTGTGATTAGAGTCAATACATTGTGTGTGTTCACGATGATTAAACGGCTGAAATGATCCAGATACTTTCAGGAGTGCAGATGTGAAAACAGCCTTTGTTTGGATCGGCAGAAAATTGTCTCATTATCAAGAGAAGTAAAACTTTGATATCTCGAGAGAATAATTTAAAAGTATCTATTATAAAGGAAAAACCAGCTTTGTCTTCCCGAAATGTCAAGATAAACAAGTTGAGAACTCGAGCAAACAAACAGGAAGGTGGAGTAATCAAAACGTTTGGATGCATGTCCGCTTAAGGCCTCCATAATGTTTTTTAACGGGTGATGGGCACTCTGCTCTTTTTGACTGGTTCATTGTTTGATTCTTTGAATCATTGAAAACATTTTGTTATTTTAATCCTTTTTTTTTTTTTACTGAAGCAGTTTTTTTTTCATGACTGCCGTTTCATTTTGTCCTTGATTAGAATTTGCACATTTTTATTTTCCAAGCACATTTGATTCTCTCATGTGGTACTAATGCAAAACCACAAGACAGGCGCTTGTGAGTGTGTGTGCTGAATATATTTTCTTAAGTGTAAGTGATGTGAGTGTGTGTCTGTGTGTGTGTGTGTGTGTGTGTGTGTGTCTGTGTGTGTGTGTGTGTGTGTGTGTGTGTGTGTCTCTGTGTGTGTCTCTGTGTGTGTGTGTGTGTGTGTGTGTGTGTGTGTGTGTGTGTGTCTGTGTGTGTGTGGTGTGTGTGTGTGTGTGTGTGTGTGTGTGTGTGTGTGTGTGTCTGTCTCTGTGTGTGTGTGTGTGTGTGTGTGTGTGTCTCGGTGTGTGTCTCTGTGTGTGTGTCTCTGTGTGTGTGTGTGTGTGTGTGTGTGTCTGTCTCTGTGTGTGTGTGTGTGTGTGTGTGTGTCTCTGTGTGTGTGTGTGTGTGTGTGTGTGGTGTGTGTGTCTGTGTGTGTCTCTGTGTGTGTGTGTGTGTGTGTGTGTGTGTGTGTGTGTGTGTGTGTGTGTGTGTGTGTGTGTCTGTGTGTGTCTCTGTGTGTGTGTGTGTGTGTCTCGGTGTGTGTCTCTGTGTGTGGTGTGTGTGTGTGTGTGTGTGTGTGTGTGTGTCTGTCTCTGTGTGTGTGTGTGTGTGTGTGTGTGTGTCTCTGTGTGTGTGTGTGTGTGTGTGTGTGTGTGTGTCTGTGTGTGTCTCTGTGTGTGTGTGTGTGTGTGTGTGTGTGTGTGTGTGTGTGTGTCTGTGTGTGTGTGTGTGTGTGTGTGTGTGTGTGTGTGTGTGTGTGTCTGTGTGTGTCTCTGTGTGTGTGTGTGTGTGTGTGTGTGTGTGTGTGTACAGTGTAGTGTTTGAGCTGGTTGATTCTTAATGATTTGAATCTGAGGTGTGGTGATACGGTGTGTGTGAGCCAGAAGACACAAACTGGTACGGTGTGATTTCCTTTTCCCAGTTTGTTGCCAGCATAACCATTGGCTAGTCCGTGTTAACGTTATGATTGGCTCATCGGTGTCGACACTTTCATGTATATACCAAACGAAAACATTTGCAGATTCAGGTAATTCATGACAAACTTCTTCTTTTTTTAAAATAAGCATTATAGCACAGATGAAAAACCTTTTTTATTTTTTATGAGTGGCCTTTTTTTCTCTACTTTTTTACTCAAATGTGAAAACTGTACAAATCATCAAACTGTCACCGATCGACCCGCACGGCCTCTGACGGATTCATTTCAAATCCTCGTTATCCTCACTGTCACATGGCAGATGCCGTGTTTTCACACCAATGATTGTAGACGTTCTTCAGACGCCATCAGCACCCTGGAAATCTACTGACAAAATAAAGAGTGCAATATGCCGTCTGTTCAGTTTGATACTGAAAATACATTCTAATAATAATCATCTGGATTTTGTTTTATTCACACGTCGTCGTCATCACATCGAGACCAAAGACTAACACGCATCTGAGTGAGCTACATTGACTTACCTCGACCTTTAACCTCACCTCAGCAGCCACGCAGACATCCACCACATGTTAGACGTATATATTACTTTACAGGTTATGATATTTACCAGTTCATGAAATCAAAAAGGAGCCTTTTTTTTTTTTTTATCCCCCCCCGTTTTTGTACCAGGCTGTACACATGTTAATCTCTGCTCTAACAACAGGCTTTTTTTGAATGTGGTGTGTATGTGACTTCCTGCAGTCAGCCTGAAGTGGACACTCGACAGACTGCAGGATTTTGCACTTTCGCGTCGGCTTCATTTTGCAAGACCACAAGAGGTTGCCGCTTGGTCAGTCCAGAAACTGGTTCATCCAGCCTAGTGTTGTGTGAGTGTCACACTCTACAAAACAAAGCCAACTGTTCCCAAGATAGTTTAAAGTCTTTATATGTGATTCTTAAATATAAATCAAGTATCTCCTCTGAAAATAACTCTGTGAGTCATGACTGTCTACAATGGGTGTAACACCCGAGTCCCACTGTCTGTGATGTTTTCAGAGTTTTCAGAGTCCTATCTTCACTTTGTTTACATCGCCAGGACGGCCGGCTGACTCCTCCCCTCGTGTATAAAAGTTGTTTAATTGAGGGACTAGAGAAAAGAAGAATAACATACTGTACTCACTGCTTAACTGTGTTTCTAGATCACGCTCATTTCAGGTAAATTTACATGCAGTGTGAAGATACCAGCAGAATAAAGATCGCTAGCATTAGCATGCTAACACAACAATGCAGCGCCAGTTGTTTTGGTTTCATGCTGGAGCTCAAGGGCGACATCTGCTGGATCAAAAAATCACATATAAAGACTTTAAAAAAGCAAAGCATCGCTCCCTCTTAGAGATAATATCCTCATCATGTTATGAAAGTGTTTCCATATTCTTTAAAGACGAGGATCCTCAACCTGTTGACGCCTTCAAATCAAAGTTTTGCAACGTGTAGGAAACAGTCGCCTCTTGGTTGAATGGGTTGAAAGCGTCATTATTTTCAATGCTAAAGCAGGCTGCACTGACTTTTCCACACAGACACTTTGCAGAAGTGTGAAATGACTGAAAAGCGTTACGTCTGCCAAAACAATGTGTCATTATCAAAAAATGAAAATGTACCGGGCATGCATCCCACCAAGCGGTCCGTTTGGATTCTGCACAGAACCGTCTGGTACACATAACCCTACACATGAGGCTTGCGTTTCCACAGCCAGCCTTCCCCTTACATGGTAAGGCGTTTGTACGCCGGGTGGTGATAGCCACGTCAGCTACGTAATAGCATGACATCAGCCCGCCGATTAATTTAACGAAGAAGAAGAATGCGAAACAGCAATTTGTGTTTCTTTCCTCTTGCTGTTTGGCCGTTTATTTCAAGAAGCTAAGTTCAAGTTTCTAAAAATACTGAGTTCTTTCGGATCATATCATCCATGCAGCCCTCATGGGAACATTTAAGAGCATTTCATCGACACCATGGAGCTAACATTTGCTTTATTCATGAGCTAACAGTTGGTGACATCTGCTCTTTCTGCAGCAAAGTGAGTTTCCATTCAGCTAGAGATAACTGTTCAGCCTGAATTTACATTTCGACCTCTGAATAAAATCTTATTTACACATCCAAAGAACCACGGCAGGTACTAACCCCTGCTTTGCAAACTCTACTGTATAACCCATGTTAAACTCTGTTGAGGGCTCTTTTAAGGGGGGGGGGGGGCGTGTTTTAGTTTTTAAACACTGATAGATTGGTGTCTTTTCTTGGAACATCTGCTTGTTGTACACTCGCACCTGAAACTGCAAGTGTTTTTATGACCACTCTCCAAACGCAGTCAGAGAAAAGGTCAAAGCTGGAACACTTTGACTAAAGTCGACCTTTTAGCACTCGACTTCACTAATCACCTTCACTCCGTCTCTAACGGTATTTTAAACAACGTTAAGCACCGTAGTGGCTCAATAAACACACCAACAACAAACCTGTAATACGGTTTTATCTTACGACTATCACTCAAAATCACACAGTATCGAAGCTGTCTGTAATTTCTGTGACTGCTGTTGTTTTGATTACTTTTCAAATAATAAACGTTTGTTAAATACAAATAAATCTTCTGGATGTTACTGCTGCTTCCTCTTCCTGTTTATAACTGCAGTTCTTCTTTTGGAGCAGACATACGACACTATTGCAAAGAACCTTAGAAACATATTTCATGCTCAAACTATTTATTATGATAATTAATCAGTATTCATTTAAGTAAAGCACAAAAAGCTGCAGTTTTTTCTGACAGGTAGCTGAACGTGCTCATTCTGCAAGTCAAACTCCCCCCAAAGGTCAAAGGTCACATTATTTCAAATCTACTTCATCATGTTTCTCTAACTCTAACATGTGTCTCTAGTCTACAAACCCCCCAATGATGAGAAAAGTCCATCCTCTCCGTCTTCTTCCTGCTCCATGAGATAAGAAACACAAAGACAACGTTCTAGGTGTGTTCAGGCTGATGCTGCTGCACCGTCATCTGTGTTCACTGCCATCTAGTGTCAAAAGGCAGACTGCACATAACAAAACAGACAGGTGAGGTTGTTGCATGCTTTGAGGTTATAACATGTTTTAGTAAAAAAAACAAATATAATGATCCATGGAAACTTTATGTCCTTTGATAATTAAGGTTTTCCTGCTCTAGTATGCTTTATGATAATTCATCTGTAAGCATGGCGCAACCCATTTATAGGCCATTCTCTCTGACAAGTTGTTTGTTTCACACTGTTTTCACAAGCCTCCTGGACGCCTCCCTTTGGAGGTCTTCAAGGCACGTCCAACTGGGAGGAGATCCAGAGCTCACTGGAGGGATTACATATCCATTATGGAATAAGATAAACTGACTATTCATGGACATAATGTGTAGTAAACTTTTGTGTCTCTCCTGCCATAATATCATGTTGTCATGTCCAATATTTTACCCTAACTGAAAGTGGGAGCTGTAGTCATATTTGTTATTTTATAACGGGCCCCGGTGTACTTTTGTATTTCAAAGTGGGCCGCAGCAGTCTTAAGTTCGGGAAAGGCTGGTCTAGTGCTTATGACGCATGTCCCATGTACAGAGGCCATAGTCCTCCTCGCAGTGGGTTTGCATCTGACCTAGGCCCTCTGCTGCCCCCCCACTCTCTCCTCCCTTCAGCTGTCCTGTCTAATAACCGTTTTCTCCACTCCCACACGGATCATTCCTTTTCATTTTCCTTCTGTGCATTTCACTGACAAACTTTGGTTTTCTTAGGGACTTATCTAAGTTAGGGTTTATTATCGAAGTTATCTATCTTTTGCAAAGGTTGTACATTTAGAACATCACTGCTGTGATTTAAAGTTTGTCCCCTACTGGACTGGCATCCCAAGCGGGAGCCTGCTCTTGCCAGTTGACAAGCAGCGCCTCTGTATATGATGCAGGGAAATATTGAAATGAAAACCAGTTACACAGCAAAAGGACAAAGAGGGATTCTTGGGAGTATATTTAATTTACAATCAGAGCATCAACACAGGAAAGAAAGCCAGATTTCATTTGACTAAAGGATTTAAACGGTGACTGGATTATCACCGGAGCTCTACATGCTACCGCACAAAATACATCAGTCTGTCACGCTCACAAACCGCTCAGAGGTCGGCATGAGCTGGACGAGGAAGGACGCTGGAAAATTAAAGATCAGTCACTGTTTAAGTGCTTTAAAATTGTACTGTGAGAGTGTTGAGATAAGTATTACAGCGAATGAGAATGATCAACAGTTTGGTCACAACACATGGGAATCACTCCCAACAACATATTCCCTTTGCAGTCATCGACAGAACATCTGATTTAGTGTTGAATCGTTGCTATTTGTGTCCAACATGGCAGCCCCCCCCCCCCTTCATGACTAAGAAGTGTACAGACGGAGCCGAATACAACACATACATATGTAACAGTCTTTGCTATCTGTCCCCCAAAACAACCATCAAAATGCTATAATCACAAACCGAAGAAAAGAAAATCACAATAAATTACAAAAGTCTCGTTTTACGCAGCATGAAAAACAAAAAGGCCTCATATGTCATCAAAGTGAAGGGACAGCATCATGAAGAAGGCAAACAACTAAAAACACTAAGAAACATGTCTGATTGAAAAAATAAATACAATTAATCACACCACTTTGTACATTCAGCAAATGTCAGCTCATAACCATTTTGATTTTTTCACCTCGTTGAACAAACAGGCGCTGCCATCGATCAGTACAGGAAGGCAGACGTTCCCTTAGATGTGGTTCAGAGAGTCCGTCAGCCAGGTGAGTCCTGTTAATCTACAATTAAAGACATGGTATTATTAAACAGTCTCAATACTGAAATACATTATCTTAAAGGAGCAATCTGTATCTACTTAGTGAGATGATAAAGGTATCTTACTCTCTGATCATTAAGGAAACATGCTATGTTGAAGTGCTGGCTTCTCTGACAACAATGCAGCAGCCAGTATGTCCTCCTTCTAACTTTACATTCTGCTCCTGAATGCTCTGGATTGTGTGGAGTGTGCTAACATAAAGAACTAAGGCAAGAAATGCACACGAGAGAGAGCGAGCGAGAGAGAGAGAGTGGCACAGGAAGCTGTGTTTTTATATCCTGGGTGGAGCAATGAGTCCAGGTGCTCCAGATCTAGCCGGGTGTGACGACCGTTTTTTTGCGAGTTACAGTTTTGTTTCGTATTTCCTGCAATCCAATATCCCTGCACTGCTGCTGCTAAGGAGCAACAACGAGAACGAAAGCTTAGAATGATTTACTTAACTATTTTAGAGTGCCTTGAAATATTATGTGTGAGTTGGATGAATCAGAGTGACAGTGTTCATTTCTCTCTTCAGTCGCCCTCCTCAGTTACTCAGAGCTGTAAGTGATGCAGCCCCGTCGGCCCACAGCTCTACTGTTTTCATTCCCTGTCACCCGTGTCACAGCGTTGTTTCTAGTCACTTTGAGTCCGTTGGAGGAACCATCGGAGCATTTTGCAGCCAAATAAGGGACATGTCTTTTTCCCAGGAGTAAGTGGAAACCAAAAACAGCCAGAAGGAGAGTGAACACTGGACCAGGAAGACAGAGACAACTATTATTCATAAATACTTCCTGCTTCTCTTAGATTATTTCTTTTTGAGATTGTTTTCTTTGTCTCTGTTTAATTATTATTACTCCATAATATGTCTGTCTGTTTTTAAACTTACTTCTACAGACTCAAAGTGACTAAAAAATCCCTTTGTGAGGAAAATATATTACTGTAGACCAGCTTTAGAGATCGCTTAAATTCATCAGGACACCAGGAAAGCTAGCTGCTAAAATGAGTTTGGTGGAGCTGAGAGCTGGAGAGTCAGATGATAATACGTTATAATGCAGCAGTTTAATCACGTGCACAGAGGTCATAGAGGTCATGTGCACACAGTCTATGCACCCCCTCCCGCTCACTCGAGCTGAATTCTCCAGAGAATATCCTGCTGCGTTCTCACATCAACTCACTCCGACTTCATGTGGGAAAAGTTCACAGAGTCTGGCAGGAGAAACTCTGAATAATGTGGCTGTTTGCGTTCACACATGCATCTCCTCCTGGAAATATCAGGAGTTTTCTGCAAAGGAACACAAAGTTCACACAGAGTTTTGATTCTAGCCAATCTAAAGTCTCACACACACACTAATGCATTACTCACTTGAAAGCGGGTCCACCTCCATTGCTTTGGACAAACTCAGCCCAGAGTTCTGTTTGGGCCGCGCCCCCAGCTCCCGTCCCTCCCGGGCTTGATTCTGGTTGTCATCCTGAGCTTTCTTCTCTTGCTCCACCTCATCTGCGTTGTAGTAGCCTCCCTCCTCCGCCACCATCTTTTCCACTTTCTCCAGCAAGCGTCCAACCTGCGGATGCTCCCCAAATATGCAGTTGTTGATAACAAAGTACCGTCTCTTGCACTTTTCCAGCACCCACTGCAACTCCTTGCCCTCCCTGCGAATGTATCTCTCGATTGAAATGCTCCTCAGCACCTCTGCCCAGCTGAAAACCACGATCGTATGCTTCCACACTCGCTCGCCAAAGAGGGAGACGTGCTCCTCGATGCGAGCCCGGTCCACCTCTGTGAACATGCCCACGGGGATGACCAGCAGGAAGGCGTGTGGACCTGGAGCGCAAAGAGATGCTCCCCTCACTATCTCCTGTTTGTAGGAAGGTGGGGTATCCTGGGCAGAGAACCAGCCGGGAGTGTCCACCACAGTCACCTGCCGCTCCAGCACCTCCGTCTGTCTCTTCACGCAGAACTCAGCCGCTCGCTCCAAGCGAAACTCCTCTCGGCCGATGATGGTGTTTCCTGTCAGGCTC